TTTTTTTGTACCGGGGATTGAACTCGGGACCTTGGCGCTGGAACCACTGAGCTAAATCCCCGGGCCGGGAGTTTTATTTTTAAAAAAATAGAAACTCTGGAGTTGAAAGTACAATAACTAAAATGAAAAATTTCTTAAAGTAATTCAACAGTAGTTTTCATCTGGTAGAAGAAAGATAGTGAATGTGAAGATAAACTGATAGAAATGACAGAGAGAAAATAAACAGAGCCTCAAAAAATATGGGACACTTTTTTGCAGGGGGTTGGTTTTTTAAGACAGTGTCGCCTTATGTGGTTCAGACTGTCCTTGAACTCATTATGTAGCCCAGGCTGGCCTCAAACTAACAATCTTCCTGCCTTAGCCTCCTGAGTGCTAAGATTACAAGCATGTGCCACCACACCCAGCAGGGACACCTTTAAGCACATTAACATACTGTACTAGGAATATAAGGAGAGTTGAAAGGAAGAGAAAAATATTTGAAGATAAGTAGATAAAAAAATTCAAATGTACTGGAAAATATATGTCCAGAAGGTCACTGAATTTTTGGTAGGATCAATAATACAAAGAGATCCATACCCAGATATGCAATAAAAATACTGAAAGCTAAAAATAAGGAGAAAATCTTGAAAGCAAGAGAAAAATGACTCATTATATACAAGGGAATTTCTGTAAGATTAACAGTGGGTTCCTTATCAGAAATAGTGGAGAACACATTACAAAGAGAAAGCAGTAGGATGGTGTGTCAGTATCAGGGTTCACCAGAGGAGTGGGTTTAAAATAAAATATATATATGAGATATATAAAGGATTTACCAAGTAGTCTTACAGTGGCCACCTGCTGAACAGGGTGGAAGAATGCAAAATGGCCATCTGCACACTGAAGAGCTAGGACTTACAGTCCAAAGTCCAAGGCTCGGACCTCACTGCAGAGACTGATGGGAACACCAAAGATTCTGTGTTGGAAGGCTGAAGAGTATGCCAGAAGCTGGAAGGAACTAGAGACAAATGTCCAAAGGCAATGGTGAAGAGAGGAGCTAGCCCCAAGAAGAAGCAAAAGGGAAGGCTTACCATTTTTATTCTCTCCAGGTTACAAGCTGCCTGCTTCCAGGGCAGTCTTCCCTCCTCAGTTTTTAGCCTACCCATCAGTCATCCAGAACTGTGCCCCATTAATCTGCTACCCATTTCTTAATCCATTCAAGTTGACATTACAATTAGCTATCACAGATGAGGTATTCAGAGTGCTGAAAAAGACTACCACCAAGAATCTTATCCAGCAAAACTGTCTTTCAAAAATGAACATAAAAACAGAATTCATCGCTAGCAGGCAGATCTGCCATTCAATAAATACTAAAGGAAGTTCTGTGGGCTAAAAACAAGTAAACGCTTTTGGAAACTCAAATGCACATAAAAAAAAAAATAAGGTAATTATGTAACTCCCCTCCCCACCTGGGTACTGGGGATCAAACTCAGGACCTTGCATTTGTGAGCCAGGTGAGGCAGGTGCAGTACCACTGCATTAAATCCCTGCCCCAGTAACTATGTAATTATAAAAGACTATAAATGCTGGGGTTTTTTCTCCCAACTCATTTTAAAAGCAACTATTTTATGTATAAAATAGTATGTATATGATTATATCGTTAGGCCTGTAACTTACAAATATATTTCATAATAACAGCACAAAGGAGATGGATAGAACCAAAGTTGTATTGGAATAAGGAAATTGTATCAAATGTTACTGAGACCCACGGGAACAAATGGGGAAAAACACAAATGGTAAATAAGATCAGTGTAACAAACTATATATCCTTACTATCTTTCCTTATCTTCTTTAGTAGACATAATGCTATATAAAATTATAGCAATGTAGCATTTGGTTTGTAATACTGGATGGACATATAAATAGATAGATAGATAGATAGATAGATAGATAGATAGATAGATCAATCGATCAGTAATACAAAGGAGAGAAGAGTAGAGTTATATAGGAGTACAGCTCCTTCACTGATTTAAATCCAGAATCCAGGGCTGGGGATTTAGCTCAGTGGTTCTGGCACCCGCCTTGCAAGTGCAAGGTCCAGAGTTCGATCCCCGGTACCAAAAAAAAAAAATCCAGAATCCATTTTGATAATAAGATCATAGCCTCAGAGCAGTCACTGAGAAAATAGCTCAAAAAATGTAGTAAAAAAAAAAGAAAAAAATGTAATGGAAAAATATCATTAAAGGGATAAAAAAATGTTACTCTTTAGAAAATATTGACTTAATGCAAAAGAAAGCATTAAAAGAAGATTAGATTGGGCCGGGGATTTAGCTCAGTGGTTCTGCTGCCTGCCTTGTAAACACAAGGTCCCGAATTCGATCTCCAGTACCAAAGAAAAGATCAACAGAAAAAGATAAGGTGAGCCCGGGGATTTAGCTCAGTGGTTCCGGCGCTTGCCTTGCAAGCACAAGGACCCAAATTTGATGCCTGTTACCAAAAAAAAAAAAGATACAGAAAACTAAAAATGGCAGACACAGATCCAACTATATCAATAATAATAATGAATGTGACTGGCTTAAACAAAAGGTATTTTTCAGATACCTTTTGATTTTGGGATAAAAAACAAAACAACTGGATGCAGTGACACACACTTGTAATTCCAGCTACTTGGGAAACTAAGGCAGGAGGATCACAAGTTTGAGGCCAGCCTGGGCAGTTTAACAAAATCCTGTCTCAGAATAAAATTAAAAATAAAATCCAATTACATGCTGTCATCAGGAGACAGACTTTAGAATAAAAGATACAATGAGTCTGAAAGTTAAAAGATGAAAAGAATATGTCATTTAAACAGTAGCCATGAGAAAGAGACTCTGGGTTATTCTCAACTTGGTGTTCACAGAACTGGTTCTCCAGATACTTGCAGAGTCAAGAGTACTTCAGTAATCCACAACTATAATTTTTTTTTTTAATTGGTACCGGGGATCAAACTCAGGACCTTGCAGTTGCCAGGCAGGCACTGTGCCACTGAACTACATTCCCGGCATAACCACAATTTTAAGATCTCAGTCTAATCTAAGAAGAGTCTAGCCTAAGAAGAGTCAGAAGATCTATTCTTTGAGCTAGGTGAGCAACATGCCCATTAAAGCATATTCCAGTGGCTAATGCTATGTTCCATCCTTGTCTGGAAAGACCTAGCCTACCAGGTGAAGGGAAGATAGGGGAAGAAGCATTGACTTTTCTCCCCTGAACTCTGATTCTGGAGTTGCAAGGAGTAGAGGTGGTAGACCAGTGTGACTAGTGAATTTGGGAGTATGAAAATGAGTAGTTACAATTTTCATTCCCAGCTCTTTTCATTTTTATTAAAGATTTCATTCATACCTGTGAAAAGCTCTGCCATGAAGGAGACTGTGGACCATGCTCTCGAACGTCAGTTATTTCCTGCAGATGTTCTTTCAGAACAAAGGTAAATCCTAAACAATGCTAAAATTGTTTCCATCAGTGCCTTGTAAAATGGTGATTATGGGAAGGGAAGAAACAAAATAATCTGTTTTATTCCTGTCATACTATATGTGATTGAATGAGTCCACCCAATGTATATAACCCCAAATCTACTATAAGCTAATTGTAGGATAGACATGGGGATTTCAGAACTCAAGGCTCAGAAATCGATAGTGGGGCTAAGACAAGTATACAAATAGTGCTACTAAATATAAATGTGAAAAGAGCAACAATAGCCCTGTTGTAAGGAGCTAGCCAAATAAGTTAAAAAAGACAGTCCACGAGACTGGCTTCACCTCTAACACCCACTGCAAGGGATTAGACAGCTGCTAAATTAGAACAGTCCACATGACTACCCACTTCTGATACCAGCTTCAGATTCATTGGTCCTAAAGACCACCCACCCTCAAGGCTTGATAATTTAGAAAGACTCACCGAAAAGCAGAGAAAGACTCACTGTTATATTCATGGCTGCAGTTTTATTACAAGAAAAGGATACAGATTAAAATCAGCCAAGGGAAGAAGCATGTAAGACAGAGTCCAGGAAAGTACCAAATATAGAACTTCATTTTTTCTCTCCCAGGAATCAGGACAGCATTACTTTCTCAATGCTAATATGTGACAGTATGCTTGTTTACTTTCTCAGTATTGGTGTTTGACGGTATGCTTGGAATATTGCCAACCAGGGAAATTCTCCCAAGTCTGTGTGTTTAGTTTATTGGGTCTCTGGCATGTGCCTGATCTCAGTCTCCAGTTTCTCCAGAGGTCTACCAATGCTACATGAGACTCAAAGCCCTCACCCTAGGACTATCTAGTGTGGCCTCCCTGCTCCAAAATTGTATTAAACTGTCCAGTGACCTAAGGCGGTAGGCAAATAATCATACTTCTGTCAGGCATGACCTTCCACTAGGATTAGGGATTACCTCTCAGAAGCCAAGTACAAAAGCCTGTTGTTAGTTTCTACTTTATGCCCTGGGTAGTTCTGAGTGGACTTTGTGTTATAAAAGGACATCTTACCATTTTGGAGTTAGATCATGGTGTCAGTTCTGAGTGTGTAACCCAAGAGGCAGGAAGCCTTCCTGTGGAAGTCTTTGAGTGGAACATACTAAATGATGAGTTGTCTTGTTCATGACCTACTTCTGGTCATTTCAGGGCATATCAGCACTTGTCCCAACAGGACATAGGTGAGGGTGGAGACAGAATTCTGAACAGTTGGTTCTGTTTGTTAAAAACAGTGAAGGCCTGGGAATCAGCTAACTTGCAAATGATTCTGAAGGTATGGTCCATAAATTGGAAACTAGCTTAATAGGTAAGCTTCAGGATAATAGCAAAAAAAAAAAAAAGTAAAAATAGTACACTTTATCATGTTAAAAGTTGTATAGGCATTTGTGAGAGTTTTTTCTTCCCCTGAAAGTAATCAGTATAAGTGAGGAGTAAAAATTTTGAGTATCAGTTGCAGGACCACTTTTTACTTCATAAATACCGATTAACACATTCCCGCTGGCTCGAAACAACAGTGGTACTTACTTGACTGTCCCACCGGGTGGCTTGTACATGGTTGGTACAAATGGATCTAATCACTTTTATTGGGGTTTTTTTACTAATAAAATTAATAAAGGGCCCGGGATTTAGCTCAGGGGTTCTGCCGCCTGCCTCACAAGCACAAAGTCCAGAGTTCAATCCCCAGTACCAAAAAA